GAGAGAGAGAGAGAGAGAGAGAGAGAGAGAGATGAGCGATACAAGTTTGGTTGTCACGTACCTTTGAAGTGTGCCGTGCAGTCCACAAGGAAGAAGGAGGTGGCCAGAGCCGCGGAGCTCCACCACAGAGTAACGAAGAGGGTGAAAGAGAGGATAGAGGAGGAGGCCGAGGAGAGTGAAGGAAGCCATAGCCGAGGAGGTGAAAGGAGAGACGAAAAAAAAAAAAAAAAAAAAAGAGAGAAGACAGACGAGGTGTAGAAGGAGGAGGCGAGGTAGGGAGAAGGAAGTGGAAGGGTGGCGACGAAGGTGACGCCGGCCGCCATAGCCGGAGTTGACCGGTGGAGTTGATCGGGAGTTGACCAGACGTTGACCAGAGTTGACCGGGGGTTGACCTGGGGTTGACTTCAGCATTGACCCAGCGTTGACCAAGGCGTTGACCAGAGCCATTGACCACGATTCTAACCAACCTGGAGCCGGTATAATCTCGCCAAGCCTTCAGCCTATCCCCTCGCCCTATGGATGTGCACACACCCTGTGGTACTTGCTGAGTCAAGTCTGTTTGTCTCTTCTTTCTGCATTGAGTCTTTTCTGTCCAGGTGATAGGAACTCTGTGGATGAATGATAGGGCCTTGTTGACCAAACCCACACGGGCAGAGTAGGGCTAAGGACTGTGTCTGACGACTGGACTGTCCCGGAGGACACGAACCCTCCCAAGGACCGGTACTGACCGGCGGGCTGCTTGGTGTGGCACGGTAGGCCCAAAATCCGAGCTGCGGGCTGCACAACAGGCCATCTAAGTCTTGAGAAGACCTGCTGATCGCGTCGTCCTGTCTGCGACGTTAAATAATTCCTGAGGAGTTACGGGGGATCTCCTTAAATGCCTCCTAATCAGCAACAGGTCTTGTTGTGACAACCTTAGAGTAGGTCTAGGCTAGAGATCCTAGTTGACAAGATCCTATCCTGATTTTGTAATTCCTTAGATTGAGTCAGTAGGTTTGTCAGTCAGGGGGAGTAATCCCACGGGCTCGTCAGCAGAGTTGCTAAGTGGTGAGGAGTGGAACCGTAATCCGGTTGTGCACCAGACACCATGGTTGACAACCGTAGTGGGAAGAGTATTGTTCCCCAGTCCGAGGCCGAGCAAGCCCAGATCGCTGCCATTTTGAGGGACAGAAAAAAGAAGAAAGAGCTCCTCAAGCAGGCGAAGCTAAAAGCAATCGCAGAGGAGCAGGGGGCGAAGAAGAAGAAGTTAGAAGAAGAGATGCTGAGGTTTCAGAAAGAGAAGATGATGATGTTACAGGGAGAGGAAGAAGAGAAGAGAAAGGCTGCCGAGGAAGAAGCAGCAGCAGAAGAGGAGGAGGAAGAAGAAGAACCTCGTGAGAGGAGGCGCAGGGAAGAGAGAGGAGCAGCAAGTGGCACGAAGGGAGAAGACGCCTGGATGGAGAAAAAGATCAGTGAGTGGGTGGCTAATTTATCGTTGGGGGAGGATGAGGAGGCACAATTGTACGTGCCACAAGAAAAGAAGGAAGCATTCGCCAGGGTATTAGAGATGATAGAGGATCCCCTGGAATGTCAGACAATAGAGGATGAGAAGAAGTTGGAGTGGAAGCTGCGAATGATAAGGGAGAAGAAGAGAAGGAGGGAGGAAGCCAACCGAGTGGCGAAAGAAATGGAGAAAGTCAGGGCATGCAGACCAGAGATACAGGCACAAACAGAGGTCCCCGCAAAATAAGATAAGATTATAGGGTACTTGGAGGTCCTGAGTGAGGCCTAGCTAGAGGAGCATCAGGCCAACAAGGGTCATGATGCGACCCTGCATGCCATGCGATCTGCTTTTAGAGAGTTTGCTCGCAACGTGGTTACCCACGTCGGGACCAAAGTCAAAAAGTTAAAGGAAGGCGCAGAGAAGTTTTGTGTCGACGCCATTGAAGGCGCCAAAGTAGTGGCCACAACAGAGGCTGCAGCACGTCCCCGCAAAGAGTCAGTAAAGCTTAAATTCCCAGATTCCTATAGCGGGAAGAAGGACGAAAGTTTTGACAACTGGGAAGCCAATGTCAACACTTGTGTATTTGCAGCACATCGCCCCCGAGGAGCAAGTCCTCGTTGCCTTCCATGCATTGAAGGAGCGCGCGCCGCCGATTGCGGGCACAATATGATTGCGTATTCTAGACTTACATGTCTCTCCACTTTCCTCAAACTCCTGCGTGGGAGGTTTGTTGACGTCACGAGAGGCGTCCGGGCCTCCGATAAACTCCAAACCATCCACTCGCGACAGTGGAGGAGTGCTCGAGCACTCAAAGCGGTCATGGACAACTTGGTAGCCGTCCCGGACCATGGCGTCACTGAGACCCAATTTACCGTGCCATGCCAGAGCCCTTACGAGAGCACTTCTTTGACAAGACCCAGCAGCCTAACATTACGTACGACGCATTGAGTAGAGAGGTGGTCTTGTTCGAGGCAAAGTCCATGCCAGATGGCACAAGGACTTGGATAAGGGTAAAAAGTGGAAGGGTTGTACCATCTCCAGCCAGGTCAAGGCCAAGGATCGTCTGATCCTTACTTTAGACGAAGGTGGTACAGATGAGGTCCCCTACAGTCAGATTGAAGGGGGACTCGAGGAGGAGGATAGTAGCATGGGTCAGGGGAGGTCCTATGCAGTTGTCGCGGCTGGAGGGAGGCCGCAAGGTAGAGGAGGAGGCCAGGGCCCAGGGGGCCAGGACATGGGAGGCCGAGGATCGGGCACACAGGGGGTTGGTGGTCAAGGGCACCGTCAAGCGAGAGGTAGGGGTCAAGGTCCCCCGCCAAATCGTCAAGGTCCTAGTCAGTCCCCACAGCGACAAGGTGGTAGGTCACCTCAAAGGTCAGGAGGTTGGCACCCAGGCTGCCCACAAGCCCGACCCTGGGAAGATCTGGGCCTGGACTAGGAAGTGTGGCAACAGCAAATGGAGCAGGGGCAGTGCATTTACTGTGGTGACCCTGCCCATATCATAAAATATTGTCCTAAGTATAGAGAGGTCCGATGGGCTGCCCAGGAGTCAAAAGGCAGCCGCCGGTAGGGGTTGCCACTGCCCCTACTATTACGCCATGTGGAAAAGCGAGTGCGCGCGTACAGGAAACTCATACTCGTCGCAGTTAATGCAAGCACTCCGTGTGTAACAGTCCCGCCACACATCTTGATTCAAACCCGCTCTAACCCAAGCCGCTATTTTGTTCGGGTTGGGGGTTTGCCCCAGACTCCTCCGTAGTCCCTTGTTGTGGCCTTTGAGAAGTCATTGATCTCGGTTTGAATCCCATCGGCCTCAACCATCATCAATTGATTCCCATTCTTCCTCCATTCGTGTAGACTGCCGCTGGACCAGAAGATGAAGAAGCAACAGTCTAAGATAAGGCTGATGTTGAAGTACCAATTGGTAGTGGTCCGGACTGAGGTAGATATGGGTATGTCATCGCCGTAAAGGCAACGACAATGACAAAGTTGTTGGCATGAATCCTGTTGTGTGCATGGTGTTCAAGATTTGGTCTAGGGTATCCTGGATCGCCTCAAGTTTGTTGTCCATGTACGCATGCATGGACATGATGCTCTCCTTGACAATCTTCGTGTTGTTGTCAAGGATCGACCCATCTAAACCCTCTAATGCAGCTTTGGCTGCCTCTCTTCCCTCAAGTCTGACACTTTTATCTCTAATTTCTTTCTCCTTATTGGTAGCATCTCGAAGTTCCTTTTCTAGCCTTAAACGGATCCTTTCTACCTGCTGCAGCGCCATCTGCTCCCTGGTGAGTGGAGGCGGTGAGCTGGACTGCACGCCCGCCATCTGACTAGAGTCAGTTCCTGTCGTATTGGAGATGGACTGTGAACTGGTCGAGTTGGGCGGCATTTCAAACGACGGACCAGACAACGTTGCCGCAGATGTTGCTGCAGAAGTAGTCATTGCTACTGCGCTAGCCTCTGCTGCCGCTAACGTCCTCTTTACAGATGTTGCTGCTTCCCTGGCAATCTCAAGATTACAGGCCCTTGCTTCGACCTTTACCCTTCATTCTTCTCCCGGTAGCAGGATCTGGAACACTACAGGTACCCTAAGCGTATCACTCCTAGTTTGCCTTTTGTCGCCAGTCGTACCTTCACCACCTTCTGAGCCACTCATCGGCTAGGCAAACATTGTTTGCACTAGAGTCCACTTTGGAACCTACCGCAACTTGCATCTGACCAGTTCTAAAAATAAACAAAAATAAAATCATGTCCGGCAAGTCACATAGGCTACCGTTTAGGCGTATCAACAACATTCACACAGACTGTACACATAATCTAAATATACTTTGATTAGTTCTCTTACAGTGGCTTCGAAGAGAATTGGCTATGGTAAAACACTACAGTTTTTCCAACAAATATAGCTTCAAGTGGACAAGTGCCTTGTAGATGGCATAGAGTTCCCTTTCATAGGTGGCTTCGCCAATTTCTTGGATGGCATTTTTTTTGCTCATGTACTCGATCGGCCTTAACTTCTTCCCTTCCCGCTGAGCCAACACTGCGCCAATGTCGTACTGGCTTGCGGCAGTGGTCACTACAAATGGCCTTTGTGGATCGGGGACCATAAGAACCTCATGATGTATAAGGGCATGCTTCAATCCCTTAAAAGCAGCGTCGCAAGTGTCTGTCCATTCCCATGGAGTGTTAAGGCGTGTCAGATCAGTCAAGGGAGATGCGACCGTACTATAGTTTTTTACAAAATTGCGATAATAACCACACATCCCCAAGAAAGATCTTACCTCAGTCACAGACTGGGGTCGTAGTCAATCTCTAATGCTAGCCATCTTCGCATCTTCAGCCTTAATCCCTTTTGCGGATACTTCATGACCCAAGTACAAGATTTTAGTGCGACCAAACTTGCATTTCTCTACATTTATCTTATACTTGTGCTGTCGGAGGAAAGAAAGCACTTTGTCTACAAGTTGAGCATGCTTCTCGACAGCCCCACTGAAAATAAGAATGTCGTCGACTACACAACGAAAAACTTAACCAAGTAGTCATGGAAGATCCTATTCATGGCGTGCTGGAAAGTACTCGACGCATTGCAAAGGCCCAAAGGCATCACCACAAACTCGTATATACTGTATCGAGTCTACAATGCAGTTTTGTGTTGGTCTTCCGGTCTAATAGCAATTTGATGGTAGTCGGACTTCAAGTCTATCTTGGTAAAGTACTTACATCCCTCCCTGCACCATATCCAATAGGTCATCGATGCGCGGTAGGGGCTCTGTGTTCTTAACGGTGATGACATTGAGGCCCCTATAATGAATGCACATCCTCAATGAACTGGTGAGCCGAAGGGGGAGATGCTAGGTCATATCCAACCCTTTTCTCTGAGCTCTTTCAGTTGTCGATACAGCCAACTCTATGGCATGGACAACCTCCCTCTGTCTACGAGACATGTGGGCTCCTCGAACAGATCAAGGTACTTAGCCACGACACTCTCTATCTCTAGGGGTGATTTAATAACCTCCCCTTTGGTAGAGACAAAGATCAGGTACATACCTTCCTCTTGGTTCTGTTTATAATCTCTATACATACTAAAGGATGGAGAGGGCCCGACGACATGCCCTGTCGCGGGCCCAACGAAATTCGGAGGAGGTCGAAATTGGGCAACAGGACCGCAGGGTCCAGGTCTCAGCGGAGGAGAGGCCCGCGAAATTGCTGGCGCGTAGGCGACGGATAGCGGACGGCGAAGCACGGCGGAGGTGCGCAGTGCGACAGCAAATGTTGACGTGAGAGGCCCACGATATTGTTGGCGCGCAGGCGGGCGATAGCGGGTAGCGCTAGGGCGATAGCGGGCGTGCGATACGGCAGGCGCGTGTCGATGCACATCGATGGTGAACGTGCTGCCGAGGGGCGATAGCGCGCGGGTGGGTGAAGCTGTGAGGTGCGCGTGTGCATGCATGGCCATGGCGAACGTAAGAAGGAGGGGGGTGAGAAAGGAAGAGGAAATATACGCTGGCAGTTTTTTTTATCTTTTTTTTGCACGTGCGCGCATGTGTGTGTGTGTGTGTGTGTGTGTGTGTGTGTAGAGAGAGAGAGAGAAATATACATTGCTTTCCAACCATGCTACTTCCATCGATACGATGAGCAAAATCGGAATGAATCTTCCCCTAAAACATCGAAATATACGATGGCACTTTCTCTTTGTCTTTTTTTCGCGCGCGCGCACATGTATGTGTGTGTGTGCGTGTGTATCTGTGTAGAGAGAGAGAGAGAGAGAGAGAGAGAGAGAGAGAGAGAGAGAGAGAGAGAGAGAGAGAGAGGTTTCCAGCGATGCACGTAGAGAAATAGAGAGAGGCTACTTCGATCGATAGGACGAGCGATACGGTACCGCGTGTGAAGGTGGACGCGGGGAGATACGTGTCATGGTTCGAGGAGGCGCGGGGGCGATAGCGGACCAGCGGGTTAGCTGAGCGCGGGCGCGGGCAAGCGATCGGGGCCGACGCCGGTGGTAGCGAGCGGGCGCGAGGGAGGAGGCTGGCGGGCCGATGGGCGGGGAGGAAGTTGGCGAGAGAGAGAGAGAGAGAGAGAGAGAGAGAGAGAGAGAGAGAGAGAGAGAGAGAGAGAGAGAGA